GAGAAAGAATGATTACTTCTAGATGAAGACTTCAGGAGCTGAGGGAAAGTTCGATAGTTTACTGATATTTGAACTAGATGTTGAAGGACCGGGAAAATTTCATCTAGGATGAAAAGCATCTTAGCAGAGGACAGCAAAATGGAAGCAACATTTTTTGCGTTTTCAATAAAATCTGTCCTGTTGAGAGGAAGAAATCAAAGAAATTCAATGATGGTGATGCAATCACCTAGATAAACTCATTCTGAGTACCAGCTCTGGAAGAACAACACAATTCAGCTTCACGAACACGACCGAACTGCACCACATTGCAGCCATCGCTCAGCCTGGAGACACAAAGACAGTAAAACATTGTTCTTGGCCCAAAGTGCTCATAGGTAGTAAGATGGTCTCTATAGATTTTCCTGTGATGATCTACCAAGTCAAAGCTGAACAGGAAAAAAGCAGTCTAAAACTAAAAATTACCTCTTAAGCAAGTCTTTGATGAACATTGTGTAGCATGCAACGCATAGTAGGGTCCTATAAAGTAGAAATTTAAAAAGTTATTGCTAGATGAAAGAACAGCTGAGTGGCTGGGTGGGTGGGTGTGTAGATGGAGATATAAATAAACAGACAAAAGAATGGAGAAGCTAAGCATCGATACCTTTCAACACATAAAATCAATCAGCACACAGAAATGTTCAGGGAATTCCCTCCTTCAAGATGTGTCTACACTAAAGCTGCCAGTGGCTGGTTTGGGTTCCTGAAATCCTTGCATGGGCAAGATAGCTTTACAATGCCTGGAATCACTTAGAAAAAATATAAAATATTAAAGAAAGCCAAAGCTTAGATAATAATTGAAAACAGTACTTGAATAAGACAACTTATACACACTGCCATATTTTAATTTTGCCCTAATCATATCTTTCCTTAAGAACTTTAAGCCCTACATTATAATTAAGGCATAGCCTAATAGTTAAAATGTTGTTTTAATAAGGAGTTTTCTTTTGAGAAAAAACAAAAAAATATGGCTGAATCATGTTTTTTATATCTTAGCCTGTCTCATTCATACAAACCTAGAGGAAATGTGTTCACTTTCCCTCTAGATTTTTTGTCTGGTAGGGGGATTCCCAAACTTGTCTGTACAATCTAAAAGGAAGTACTGATATTTGGGGAATGTTTTGCCAATCCACCCAGAATAAATGACAGCAAAAGACCAAAAAGGCTTATTTTACTGGGGAAGTGTTATGACATAGCATCTTATCACGCAATTCTGCAACAAGATCTTGAACAATAGTTTCAGTCTTTCTAAACCTCAACTTCTCAATCTGTAAAGTGGGGACAACAAAACTATTTATCTCATAGAGTTATCAGAAAGATTAAAATGAAAAATTACATAAAGTCAATCAGCATATTGTGTCTTATAATAAGAAACCAATATTAAATATCACTGAGAAATAAGGAAATAATTAAAAGCCAAAGTTTGGGAATCCTACATGGGGTTCAGTTGAACCAGTCCTAGTTTGGTCCCTCACTGACTGACCTTGAGCAAATCATTTCACCATTCTGGTCTTCAGTATCTTAGTCTATAGAATAATGTCATGATCCCTATGGTCCCTCTCAAGCTAAGATTGTTTACTACTAGATCAAGATCCCAGAGAGAAAAAGAAGTAAGCATGGTTAAGAACTAGCTCCTTCCCCATTGTAATATCTCACCATATGGCCAGACTGCTGGAAAGTCGGGACCACGTTGCTACCTTGGAGGTTTCTGCTGGCAGAAAAATATGTCTCTCTGGATTTGGAGACCCCAGGAAGTTGTTGGATTTGGAGACCCTAGGGAAGATGTTGTGACCCTTCCAGATCTGACCATGTTCCTGGATCCACTTGACAATGCTTTTTCCCCTCCAACAACTGACTCTATTAGTTATGTAACTCAACCACCATTTCTATCTTGAGATATAATTATAAAACAAAAATGGACTAGCCCCTAGGAGTGACTTATGTTTAGTCTAAGCCAATGACTGTCGATCAAAGATGGTACTGTCCCCTAAGAAAGTGTGAAAGAAGTTGTCTTGGTACGTGGAGGATTTCAATAGTATTTAATAAGTGAGGGCCAGGGATGTTAAATTGTTCTGCAGCAAACAGGACAGTCCTGCACATCAAACTATCATCCAAAACTCCAAAAGCACTCCTTTAAGAAATGCCAGCTCAAACTATTCTTAGGAATTCCATTCCCCTTGCCATTCTTTTGCCAGATAAGTTTAGGGTTTCACAAGAACATATTTTGGTCACTAAATATAAAAACCAGGGTTTTTTTAGAGCTTTTCCTCATGATAAAAGAAGCGAGCATCCCCTACTTCCTGCCTACTTTGTGACTCTCAGAGTCTCAACAGCCAACTTGCAACCATGAGGGGAAAGGCAGAGAAGTGCGGAGAACATACAGAGCTGACATTTCTGAGTTGCTGAGTTAGCCAACTGTGGAACGGCCTACCCCCAGACTTCTCATTCCAAGAAAAAAATACATTTCTTTTTTATTTAATCAAATTTTAATCTGTTTTAATCCGTTCTTTGCAGCCCAGTGTATCCTAAATTATAATTTGTTTGGAGAAAGAAAAGAAAACTCACAGGACCATATCAACTGATGCAGAAAAGTGTTTGACAAAATTCAACAGCCATTCAGGAACTTTTTTTTAAGGGATTTGCCAGAAAAATAGACATAAAAGGAAATCTTAAATCTGATGAATATCTTCTACATATAGCTGTATAGCTGAAATTATGTTTTGTAATGAAAGAATGCTTTTTTCCTGAGATCAGAACAAGGCAAGGATGTCTTCTTACATCACTCTTATTCACCACAATATTGGAAGTTCTGGGCCTCCCTGGTGTCGCAAGGGGTTAAGCACCACAATAGGAAGCAATCCGCAGCCTCTGCAGCACGAGTTTGATCCCCAGCCAGCCAGGGAGCAACCCACATGGTGTAGCAGACCTCTCCTGTCTCGCCCGCTGCTCCCCTCAGCAGTGTATTTCAGTCTCTCTGCCTGTTCTGTTCCCCATTCTGTCTCTGGTGAATCCTCTCACCCCCGCATCTCTGGCCTGTACCCCAGCTCTCGTATGCACAAATAAATAAATCTTAAAAAAATATATTGGAAGTTCTGTCCATTACAATAAGACAATGGAAAATTTTTAAAAATGAAGTTGAACCCTTGCCTAATACCATATATAAAAGTTAACTTAAAATGGATCAAGGACCTATATGTAAGGCCTAAAACAATTAAACTCTTAGAAGAAGACATAAGACAAAAGCTTTACAACATTAAATTTGGCAATGATTTCTTCAGTTCCTTATAACACTGAAGGCACAAGAAACAAAATTGAAAAATAGACAAATTGGACTTCATAAAAATTTTAAAACGTTATATATCAAAAGGCACTATACACAGAATAAAAAGGCAATCCACAGTACAGGAAAAAATATTTGTAAATCACATATCTTATAAGGAATTCACATCTAGCCTATATAGAGAACGAAAACTCAACAACAAAAAACTAAATAACTCAATGCAAAAATGGACAAAGCACTTGGCTAGACAATATCTCCAAGAAGACATACAAATGTCCATAAGCAATGAAGAGATGTTCAATATCACTAATCATTAGGGAAA